TCAGCCTTCCTGCTCCTCTGATGCTGCTTGGCCTGCTGTGTTCATCCAGCTCTACACCTTGTTATCTCAGATTCTCCAGCGTCTGCAGTTCCCACTATCTCTGATCAAATGCTAATCAGGTAATTACATGCTGGCCAGTGATCCTTCTCAACCTCTCAAGTGCCACGGCTAAGCAGTCCCACCCTGCCTGAAGCTGCAAGCTGATTGGAGGGCAGCAGCCTCTGGAATTTGCAGGCTCAGGTTACTAGCTGCAGGCCATGGAGATTAGAACTGATGACAAAGTAAGTTTTTTTTTCTCAATTTAAAAAGCTGGAGAGCAGGAAATAAGCACATTGAGGGTGTGGAAAGAGAGGTTACAGGGAGAGGTAGGGTCAGAATTAAGGACATGAGGCTCAATTCACTACCCATCACCCCTGCCCTTCATTTATGGCCCCAATTATCCTAAGGTTAGGATAAATTTGGTGGCTCTGAACTCTGCACCACCACCTTCCCTGCACCCCCACCCTTAGACAACAGACCACCCTGGTTTAGTCAGGAATGCAACCATTTGTCTCACAAAGGTAGCGGGAACTGCCGATGCTGGAGCTTGACCCAAAACGTCAGCTTTCCTGCTCCTCTGATGCTGCTTGGCCCACTGTGTTCATCCAGCTCTACACCTTGTTATCTCATTTGTCTCACAAAGCAGGCAATTGGGCTTGTGGTAGTTTGAGGTCCTCAAATTGTAGGTAATTGACCACAAAAGGGCTGTATTAGGTAACAGGTCAGGAAGGACTGCACAGACTGTCTATATGTGACTCCAGACTCACAGCAGTGTGGTTGACTCTTAACTGCCTTCTGGGTAATTACTGATGGACAATAAATGCTGCTGACTAGTCAGCGAAGCCCACAATCCATAAGTGAATCAATAAAAGACCATTCAAGAATTGAATTGTAGAGGTGGTTACCTTCCTCATTCCCTTCAAGGGACAGGAATATCTCACTTATTAATATTCACTTTAGTTAAGAATCATCTGGATATATTGTTATCGGAAATAAATGGATTTGGGTACTAAGTATTCAGAGTTTTGCAGATCTGAAAGCTGATACAGACATGCTTGACAAGCAGTAGAATTTATCTATGTACATTTTAAAGAATAGAAGAGTCAGAAATCTATTTCTTTTCTTTATTATTTTCACTTCATTGTCATTTTTAACAAAGATCCAATATGTAGGTTCTAATGAAATCCAGAAGTTACATTTTGTTGTTTTTCAATATAAAGCATCATAAATGGAATTTCTACCTTAGTTTCATTCAAACTCTTCCAAAGGTGATGAATCTTTGAACCTATGAAAACAATCACATGTTTACTGACCTTCTGAATGGACATCACTCGTTGATGCAGGATGTGGTCTCTTGGTAGCTGACCTCCGGTATACCACATGGACTCTCCCATTTTCTTCTTCCTCATCTACTTTGTCTTTCTCCAGTGGTTCAATAAAGAACTCATCCTTGTCTGTCCGAATCATGCCAGCCTGAGTGACAGGACCAGAGATAAGATACTCTTAAATACAAGAAAACTGCTCATGCAGCGATCACGCAGTTCCACTACACAGGTGAAGCTTTCATACGCTCAGATACCCACAGGATTTCCATCATTTTAGAATTTTAAAAACAATAAAGTTAAATACTTTATGAGGAATAACACAGCAGTCATTCCTTGCTCTGACATTAAAAGCAAAAACACATTTTATCATACGTCAGCCCTATAAGACTTGGAAAAGTTGATAGACAACTGCAATAAAGCTGACTACTCAGGAAAAAAAAAATGTACAATTGAACACCACTGCTGAGTAGGCCTTTGACCATGATCACTGTTTCAAGGTGACTGAAGAAGTCATTGAATTCCTTTCATTAGATTGGGTTTCGATATTTTTATTACTGGTAGCGTATCATATTCTGCAATTCAGTTTGTCTTGCTGTGAAAACTGAAACCCAGTGGCCTCATTATGACGTACAAAGTAGTTATACAGGGAGTTCACTGGAGCACGATCATGTCATGATTTAAGCTATGGTTACGCCCAGTATTACACTGGTGTTATTACTAGGAAAAGTGAATTACAAATTTTTGCAGCAATGGACGAAAATATTTTAAAGTAGTCAGTGCTGATGCTACTAAAAATTTATGTATCAGGGATTAACATGTTCTCAAAGAACAAAGAAAGTTACAGTACAGGAACAGGCCCTTCGGCTCTCTAAGCCTGCACCGACAAGTTGCCCCGTCACAACTAAAGAAATTTTGGATTTTGGGCAATTTATTTGTTGCATTTTCCAGCCCTCTCCCAATCACCCTTTTAACTTGTTTCAAATTCCTGACATGAATGGGAATTCTTGCTGCAGGCCTCAAGGCCTCACTAAAAATGAAAAACACAAATTGCAGTTTACTGTGTCTCACTAGGTGAAGCTGTCTGTGCTATCTATAAATGTAATATTGAATGTTATGAATGGAGAAAACTATACGCCCAGTCAGATGTTAATTGACGTTTGGATTATTTTCAGTGACCTAGTGAAATCTTTTCCAAGTCAGTGACACACAACATTTACTGATATTTTCTGAACACTAATGACTAGTCCAACTCACCACATCATCATCATCCAGCAGTCTGCTCATGTGGAAAGAAAAGCTGCTCTACTTGGACTGGGCAGGTGCAGTGTTGTATCTACCTTACCCACCACTGGGGCTGCAAATCTTCATTGGGATGGAGGGCCATAATAAAGGAATTGGCAAGAAAAAGGGCGAAGTCACTATTCTCTGTCTCTGAATCAGTTGCTATTCACTTTCGTACATGACAAAGAAAAGAATATTTACTAAAAATGAGGGCTTTAAAATGTAATAGAAAGATGTATCGAAAATTTTATAGCTCAGAGGAAGATAGAAAATATTATTGATGGCATTTGGTGAATCACATGACTTTTTTTTAGCCCACTATTAGAGGTGTTAATCCATACAAACGGAATTAAATGGCAGATGAGTATCATACGAATGAAATAAGAGATGGTCCACTGATATCAGTCACTTCTAAGCTTTATTTTAAAGAATGTTAACCAAGAGGTTTTGTTTACACGCTGGTTCAACAACACTGCTTTAATCATCTGTTTCGTGTAATTATTCACATAATGAGAGATAGTAGGAACTGCAGATGCTGGAGAATCTGAAATAACAAGGTGTAGAGCTGGATGAACACAGCAGGCCAAGCAGCATCAGAGGAGCAGGAAAGCTGACGTTTCGGGCCTAGACCCTTCTTCAGAAATGGGGAAGGGGAAGGGGGTTCTGAAATAAATAGGGAGAGAGGGGGAGGCAGTTAGAAGATGGATAGAGGAGAAGATAGGTGGGGAGGAAACAGACAGGTCAAAGAGGCGGGGATGGAGCCAGTAAAAGTGAGTGTAGGTGGGGAGGTAGGGAAGAGATAGGTCAGTCCAGGGGGCGGGATGAGGTTAGTAGGTAGGAAATGGGGGTGCGGCTTAGAGGTGGGAGGAGGGGATAGGTGGGAGGAAGAACAAGTTAGGGAGGCGGGGTCGAGCTGGGCTGGTTTTGGGATGCGGTAGGGGGAAGGGAGATTTTGAAGCTTGTGAAATCTACATTGATACCATTGGGCTGCAGTGTTCCCAAGCGGAATATGAGTTGCTGTTCCTGCAACCTTCGGGTGGCATCGTTGTGGCACTGCAGGAGGCCCAGGATGGACATGTCGTCTGAGGAATGGGAGGGGGAATTTAATAGGTTCGCGACTGGGAGGTGCAGTTGTTTATTGCGAACCGAGCATAGGTGTTCTGCAAAGCGATCCCCAAGCCTCCGCTTGGTTTCCCCAATGTAGAGGAGGCCACAAGGGGTACAGCGGATGCAGTATACCAAATTAGCAGGTGTGCAGGTGAACTTCTTCTTGGGGCCTGGGAAGGGGGGAGGTGTAGGGGCAGGTGTAGCACTTCCTGTGGTTGCAGGGAAAAGTGCCGGGTGTGGTGGGGCTAGAGAGAAGTGTGGAGCGGACAAGGGATTCTCGGAGAGAGTGGTCCCTCTGCAAAGCAGATAAGGGTGGGGAGGGAAAAATGTCTCTCTTTCAATTCCTCCCACTTCCTACAGACAAAGGGGGTGGCCATGGGTACCCGCATGGGCCCAAGCTATGCCTGCCTCTTTGTAGGTTACGTGGAACAATCCCTCTTCCGTACCTACACTGGCTCCAAACCCCAACTCTTCCTCCGTTACATTGATGACTGTATCGGCGCCGCCTCGTGCTCCCACGAAGAGCTTGAACAGTTCATCCACTTCACCAACACCTTCCACCCCAACCTTAAGCTCACCTGGACCATCTCTAATACCTCTTTCACCTTCCTGGACCTCTCTGTCTCCATCTCTGGCAACCACTTAGAAACCGATATTCATTTCAAGCCCACCGACTCCCACAGCTACCTAGAATACACCTCCTCCCACCAACCTTCCTGCAAAAAATGCCATCCCCTATTCCCAATTCCTTCGCCTCTGCCGCATCTGCTCCCAGGATGAGGCATTCCACTCCCGTACATCTCAGTTGTCCTCGTTTTTCAAGGACCGCAACATCCCCCCCTTCAGTGGTCGAGAACGCCCTCGACCGTGTCTCCCGCATTTCCCGCAACTCATCCCTCACATCCCGTCCCCGCAATAACAACCAAAAAAGAATCCCCCTCGTCCTCACGTACCACCCCACCAACCTCCGGATCCAACGCATCATCCTCCGACACTTCCGCCATCTGCAATCCGACCCCACCACCAAAGACATTTTTCCCTCCCTACCCTTATCTGCTTTCTGGTGGGACCACTCTCTCCGCGACTCCCTTGTCCGCTCCACACTCCCCTCCAGCCCCACCACACCCGACACTTTTCCCTGCAACCGCAGGAAGTGCTACACCTGCCCCCACACCTCCCCCCTCACCCCCATCCCAGGCCCCAAGAAGGCTTTCCACATCAAGCAGATGTTCACCTGCACATCTGCTAATGTGGTATACTGCATCCGCTGTACCCCTTGTGGCCTCCTCTACATCGGGGAAACCAAGCGGAGGCTTGGGGACCGCTTTGCGGAACACCTACGCTCGGTTCGCAATAAACAACTGCACCTCCCAGTCGCGAACCATTTCAACTCCCCCTTCCATTCCTCAGATGACATGTCCATCCTGGGCCTCCTGCAGTGCCACAACGATGCCACCCGAAGGTTGCAGGAACAGCAACTCCTATTCCGCTTGGGAAACCTGCAGCCCAATGGTATCAATGTAGATTTCACAAGCTTCAAAATCTCCCCTCCCCCTACCGCATCCCAAAACCAGCCCAGCTCGACCCCGCCTCCCTAACCTGTTTTTCCTCCCACCTATCCCCTCCTCCCACCTCTAAGCCGCACCCCCATTTCCTACCTACTAACCTCATCTCGCCCCCTTGACCTGTCTGTCCTCCCTGGACTGACCTATCTCTTCCCTACCTCCCCACCTACACTCACCTTTACTGGCTCCATCCCCGCCTCTTTGACCTGTCTGTTTCCTCTCCACCTATCTTCTCCTCTATCCATCTTCTATCCGCCTCCCCCTCTCTCCCTATTTATTTCAGAACCCCCTTCCCGTCCCCCATTTCTGATGAAGGTTCTAGGCCCGAAATGTCAGCCTTCCTGCTCCTATGATGCTGCTTGGCCTGCTCTCTTTAGTCACATAATGATTTTGGTTTAAAAATAAAGTTCTATAAACTTGGATGTGATATAGCAAGCAAACAGATGATGATAATGGAACAATCCCATGCCTATAGACTGGGAGTCAGATAGACGCCATGGCGAGGGTACAATCCTTTGCCCAGCCTGTGCTTGATTTTCTACCAGGTGCTCTACATAGACATTTATTTATACCATGCAAAAAATAATTATGGCACAGAATTCATTACATTCAACAGGACAGCTGATCACCTAATCAACACAGTCTTCACTATTACACACCCCCACTTTGTTTCTTTGTCCATATTTTTAAATACTAGTCACATAACTTATCAAATGTTTTTGTTGTGAGTTGAACAGTAGAATATACTTCTGGTCCAGCATGTTCTCGTGTAAAAAGAAACACAGTTATTATAAATATTGTTAACAGTTAACAAACGTGTGGTTTCATAGATCATTCCTTTAAACAAGAAACGCAGTTGGAATTTCATGAAAATAACAGCTACTACGTTTTGCTCAATGCTGATGAGATAAACAAGGCACTTTCATTTCAATATATGGTCACCTGTAACAATTATACCAAATTTAATGCTGACACCGCTATATATCATAGACTTGTACTCATTTACTGAAATGTTCAACTGCTTTATTATGAATTACTTTCTTTATTATAATTAGAAAGTTTATCTGAAAGTTAAGCGTTAGTATAGATTTGAGTGGTAGTCTTGACGGATGTTGTTATCACAGTTAATGATAACTACTTCTGTCAGTATCTGCTGTTACAATATAAAACCAGAGGTTACAGCACAGACTGTATT